TGGTCATAAGGACAATTAGCTACATGCTTAGTTGAAAAAAATACATTATTGTCACCTAAATAATCATGGCAATATGGAAATTTAATTACATAATTGGACTCAAATTGGTATATAGTATGATGATTCTATCTTCCAATTGTATCATTTCAACTGTCATGGTCACTATACATTGATGTTTCTCTACAGAAAGCACAAAAAATTCATTCCACTTTATCATGTCTACGGATAATTAAGTGGGTTGTAAATTAGTACCTTTAGTTTCAAGAAACAAATTAATTAATCCCCTTTATTTCTAAAACTATTATTTAATTTTTTAATTAATATTGAACATACTTAATTTAATATTATTTTTATTTCATAAAATCTTTTATTTTTCCATGAATCTTTCCATATTTTTTCATGTTTTCTATTTCTTGAAACAAAATATTAAAATAAATGAAAAAAGAGCAAAAAATACTACATTATAAGTAGATTCCAAAACATGGAGACCAAATAGTTAGTTTTCGAAAAAAATAATTAATTTGTTTTTAAAACCAAAAGGACTAATTTATAATCTACTCCTGTGTGAATGGAGAAAGAAGGTTATTGGTAAAATAATAATAATAATAATAATAGCTACACATGTCAAGGGAGAGCAATTTTATATTATTCATAGAATAACTATCCATACATATTCTATAAAAGAAAGATAAACACAAAAATGAAAAAAAAAATTAAGCAAAGATGAAAATATTTTTATCATTTTTTATAAGTTTGGATATGATTCTTTCTCTCTTTCTTTTTTTTTCTTTTTTTTTTTTTTGAGAAGTGAAATAATTATTTTAAATATATAATAATTACTTCTTGAGTTTTTTTTCCCCTGCCATGAGTGTGGATTGTTTAATTTAAATCGAATTGTTTACTATTTTACCTTTACGTTATCTTTAAAATAAATTGTATTCTATACATATAATATTTATCTAGTGTGACGTAACTTGGATTCGGTTTCAAAACCGAACCAACTGAAAAGCCCTTTTTTTCTTTTTCTTTTTTTACTTTTTTTTAGTAAAAAGTTAAAATTTCGAATTAAAAAAAAAGAAGATATATATATATTTGAAAAACTAATAAAGAACCAAAAATCGAACCAAACAGACCAATTGCACGCCCCTCAGGCCCAATGGACTTCCTTGCGGTAGCAATACACATCCTCCTGTGGCCACAAATCAGCTCCGATAAAGGCATCAGTGTTTCATAGGTTTAATGACATAATTCACTCTTATATTAGTTGTAGTACAATAAAATTTATATTATTGAAATGGGTTATTTCAACTTTAAATTATTAATTTTTGAGTAAATTTTATTTTTTTTCATTATATCTGACGATTAAAGTATTGATCATTAACTGAAATATTTAAAATAATATCGTTTTAAAGATTTTATTTTTTTTCTCAAAATTAAAACTAATTTCAATTTTTTAATAATTATTTTCATTGTTATTATTATAGGATTCATTACAAATCATTAATTATTCAACAACAAAAATCAAATCTATAAAAAACAAAATCATCTAAACTTATATAAAGTTAACTATTATTTAATAATTTTTTAAAATTAATTTTAATTCTAAAAAAACTAAACTTCTGTTTTAAGCATTTCAGTTGACATTCGCTTTAAATATTTTAGTTGAAAATCAACATTTTTAACCATCAGACAATGGAAAAAAAAATTTATCTAAAAATTATTAATTGAAAATTTAAATAGATAAAATTAATAAATCTTATTTTATTACAACTTCAATAGCGTGAGAATAAATTATACAATTAAACCGTGTTGAATATTGATGTCTATAAAGGTGAAGATGGTAAAGAGAGAACTCAAAAGTACTCGGCATGTCCTATAAAAAGAGTTTTTATTTATTTATTTATTTACATGTTTCAAAATATATATTTTTTAACAAAAAGTTAAAAGAAATTAAATACCAAATTTCACTACTTTATCGTTATTAAAAATCGAATTCACATATTTTTTTCTTGGTTATATTCAATTTAAAAAAAAATTCAAAAATATAATAACAAATATATAGGCATAATATTCAATGTATTTTTTTTTTTAATAGGTATGGAGAGTCTCGTAAAAATTTCTCTAGAAGACAAAGAGAGTAATCATTATATATAAGAACCATATAACCAGACAAAAGGTGACATCTAGAAGATTGAAATGCAGACACCATGCTATAATCATGAAAAATTGTAGACAAGTAGGATACGTTCTGTGTTCTGAAGCTGAATCACCGCTTACAAAAACCTAAGGCAATTAGAATAGATTCTTCAACAGTTTGTTGATGTGATTTAAGTGTCCAAAACAGCAACTTTTTCCCTCAACTCTTTTCAATCTTCATGTTTTACTGGCGCTGATGGAAAAGAATGTTTTGCCAAATGCGGGCTATATGGTGCAGCTGATACGTAATCAAAGCTTGCAAGATAATATACTTTATTATTTCAATGTCTTTGCCTAAGAAAGTAAAATCACTCACATCAAATCATACTATTTTACCTAACGATAAGCTTCAACACAGCATCCCATCCAGGATGACAAAAGTTGATAAGCATTCAACAGTTCAATCCAGGCCAAAACAGTTAGCTAAAACATGATTAATATGTAGGATGATGCATGTTGGTTTCGTTCCCAATCTATTGCCATCATTGAATCAGTCGATTGAAGCAAAACATCTTGGTGAGGACAACGAAGTTATCACTCTCAACTTATGGAGCTCCTACTAAGAGGTATTTGTTTTGAACAAATATATATATATTACAGAAAAAATTAGTAAACATAAAATAATTTCTGATCAACTTTTAAATTTAGTTTATTTATTAGAAAATATTTTCAATTTATGAAATTTTGAAAAATATTTTTCGATAATAATCTCTTTTCTATATCATTTAATTATTTCAACTACGGCTGATACTATCGCCATTATGCCATCATCACAACCTTGCTACCACCACTGCTCTACTGCAACCATAGCTGACACCATCACCACCACCATCATACCTTTGCTGCCACTCCACCACTACCACTACAGTCACAATAACCACCATACATCATCATCATAATCATTCTACTACTATATTTTTAAAATCATTACCTATCAAGTACTGGGGATTGAGGAGCAATATTGTTCAGCCACCATCTCACTAGAGAGGTCAAAGTAGGCAGCATCTCATAGTTAGCTTATGTTCAAGAAGCCTCGTAACTGCTTCTTCAGCATAAGTCCTAACCTGAAGGTAATCAAGATTGAATGGCTTCCCGAATCAGTGCATATTAGCAATTTCAGTCTCACCCTACTATATGGCGGTTTGGTTCTGTGGTAAAAACCGAACAAACCAAACCAAACCAAACAAATAAATTATTGCGGTTCAATTTGTCTTCAGTTTGAACCCAACAATGTACACAACTATTATAAACACCACACAATCTCCCAGGTTTGAGAGGCACACAAGCAGAACGGACGATCACAAGAATAACAAATTTAACAATGCACTCACACCTATAGTTTTAGATCGCAGAAGGTTGAAAAAACAATCATGATCCCCATTATAAATCACAATTTACTACAATACTAAAATAACGATAACAATATATTCTGAAACCATTATATAACAACTGTTATATAAAATAACAGCCATTGTTTAAAACTATGCTCATACTTTCTTCATGTTTCACATGAAAACTTATGCTCTTACTACGAGGAACCATAGGTGAAGTAACCCAACACAATCGTTACCTACCACTTCCTGTCTTCTTTCAATGATCTATGGAAAAGCCCTTTTAAGGTTAAATTCAATTGTCAAAGATACAATATATAGCAATGACCTTGAACCTTCTATTTTTAATGCTCTCTCTTCAAGCTACGTAAAAGTATGGCAAACCAAACTTTGGTTACTAGCCTTTAAGCACATCCCATTTGCACAATGATTTTCTACTAGTACTTCTGCAATTCAAAATGATTCTACAGTTTGCATAGAACATGACATGCTACAGAAAACCAAAGATGTAAATCAGCATGTTCAAAGTTGCAACTAGTTCAGTATCATTAAAAAAAAAAAAAAATGAAAGCCACCTCAAATTGTTACGATAGTTATGCGTACGATTTGGTAATCTGAGGCATTTATTGCTTGATTCTGTATATACTGAAATATAACAACAAGAATAACCAAAAGATAAAACAATTTGAGACTAATATCAGCACATGATTACAGCAGTTGCAAACATTTGGCAGAAGCATATACAATTGAAAAAATAGGAATGCTTAGGACTGATGGGAGATTTCCTAATGAAAATGTAAATGTAGAGATCATCATCTTACTAGTTATACAACTAATGAAACTCCTTGATTTTCTTAGTATAATTGCTAACTCCTTGATATGTTTAACCAACTAATTATGCAGTTTTCTCAAATACGCACATAGGTTTCTACAAAAAAGAAGCTTCCTTCTTGGTTCTTTAAGGTTATCTTACAGTAGATCAGTGTAGAATTAAACCATCAGATGTCGACAATCTATACTTTAAAGGAAATTTCATGCTCAAGATCTAAAATAGGGCAGCAAACCATCAGAAAGAATACTTAAAAACATATTAGTCAACGCCACAAACACTAATCAATTTAAGTTCTTCCCCATATTCTGAACAAGCTCTACAACTTTTTTTAAGAGCCAGTCATTTCAATTCATTAGCCCACTTGTTTGATCAAAGTCAACCTGGTCCTAAATTAACGGCAGAAATATGATAATCCCATTCCCACATTTTGTTGCTTGTATGAATCATCTAAAACTATTGAACGCAAGCAAAGTAAATTGATCATATAATTTGACACACAGACCACGTCCAACAGGATTTGACACTAATCCAACACAAAACATTATCATTTCAGGTCAAATTCAAAACAAGTAAATTGAGCTGACTTACTTACGATGATACAGCATAGGACCTTAGGATAAAACAGACTATAATTTGAAGCATCAGCTACAAATGGGGCAAAGGACCAAACCGTTCTCATTACAATCAGGGCATCTAAGCACAACTGTCTTCCCTTGTCTCTGCCCCAGCGCCTCCTTAACCACCATCACCATCTTACAGCTCCCATTACAAGAAAAACAAGGCAAAAACCTCACGTCTCCACACCCTTCACACGCACCCTTTACTCCCTTCTTAGGCAACCCTTCTAAAACCTCTCCCATTAGCCCTTCTTCAACTAATCTCATCACTTCCTCAGCACCACCCACATACCTTCCTTTAACAAAAACCCTTGGTGGCACCATTGCCTCTCTGTCTTTCCCTTTCATCAATTCCATTAACTCCTCTTTAAACCCTTTATCCATTGACACATCTCTCTCACAAATCAACACACCAAACCCCTCAAAAGCTGCCCGCACTGCATTACAAGCTTCAAAAGTCTTTCTTATGCCTCTCAAAGTCGTCGTGTAGATCACAACTCTGTTTTCTCCATTGGGTGGACATAGTCTCTCACATTTATCAATCAACCCTGTACTGTTCTTCAAAAGAAAATTTGGGTTCTTGTTTCCTTGGCTAGATAAAGGACTTTCTTGGCCTTTCTTGACAATCAAAGAGCTGTCCTTCAAGAGAAAATTTGGGTTGGTATTTTCTTTGCTAAATAAAGGGCTTTCTTGATGTTTCTTGAAAAAGGGTGAAAAACGGGAACTTTCTTGGTCTTTCTTGATAATGGGAGAGAAACGAAAGCTATCAGTGTCAAGACCAGACATAAGTTCCCAAGAATCAATGATTTCTGGTTTGGACTTAGGTTCTGTAAGTGGGGTAGGGAAGATAGAGCCAAGAGTGAACCGAGGTGGTGTTGGAGGAGTTGTGGTGGTTTGTGGTGGTGGTAATGGATCAAGATTGAGGAGGCCATAAGTGGTAGAAGTGAGTGAAACTATGTGGTGACTCAGAGCAGAGGTGCCTAGTTGAGTGAACTCATCCTCGTTGTTAAGTAGATTAGAAGACACACAGCCCATGATGGAGGTAGCTGAAGTGAGTTGATGGCTTCAACTTGTTTTGGTTTTTGAAATTTGAAGAAGAACAGAGTGGGAAAGCAAGAGTGTCAATGTGAAGACAAAGGGTTAGACAGGGGATGACTTTTTCCAGAAGGGAATTTTAGATGCATTTATTAGATCCCATCTCCCTATATATTTTTTATATTTGAGAAATCTGCTTCTTCTTCTACTTCTTCTTCTTCTTCTTCTTTTTTGCTACGTTAAAATTTACTCTTTTTTATAATAAATTTTATACATTTTTTTTTTTTGAAATTTCATTGACTAACGATAACAATATTTATTATCATCCAGAACAAGGTTTTTATAGGTCAATTAATCGAATTTTGCAATATCTAGTTTTTTCATTTGCATGTTTGATGGGTTTTTTTTTCATCCACCAATAATTAGTTTGTTATGAATCAAATTTGGCATTTTATTTTCAGACAAAGTTCTCATAAGTAATTTAGGTTTACAGAAAATAATATTTAACAAAACAAGATCCTATTTTATTATATGATATCTAGTTAGAAATACCATATATTCAATAAAATTTGTGTGCTATGAATTTTATTCTAAAATCTCATAAAAGGACACGAAACAACAACATATTATCCATTCTATATTTTATAGCAATTTGAGTTATTTTTTTAATAAATAAATAAATAAGATAAGATTTAATATGATAGTAAATTTAACATAATCAATATTGTGTTTCGAACAAAAATGTGTTAAAAACATATAAAGTTACATTTTTGTGGTGTGGTGTCGTGTCTGAAAAGATTATCTCAATCCACATGAATGGGAAATGTGAGCATTATTGCAAAAGCAAAGGACAATTATTACTTAGCCTTTTAAGTCGCTAAAATTTGAAATTTTGCGGTGCACGCACGAGCTTTGGTCTTTGGGCGCTAAATTTTAATTCAAATTCTGGTGGAGTCTTTAATACGGCTCGCACTTTCTTGCCTTTCTCACGCATTCCAAGGTCAAATCACATGCTACCACATCGTGAAAAAAACACACCACAAGGCCAAACCCATTTATAATGGGTTCAGCTTGGGCTGGGTCAAGATCAATCTCCACAAATTAGGCTCATAAAAAAAAAAAAAGTGTTATCTAAATTCATTTGTTACTCCCACCATTTATTTTTCGAAAATTAGTAACATACTCTCTGCATTAATGTTTGTCACTATATTTTAATTAAATATATTTTACATAAAATATTTAAAATATCTGAAATTTAAATATGCATGAAAGAAAAAAAAAGGAGATAAAAAAAGAAAAAAGGATGGACATTTTTTATATTTGATATAAAATAAATTTAATTATGATATGGTAAAAATATTGATGGAAGGGTGTGCTGGTAATAAAAAAAAATAGTGGGAATAACAAATTTGATGGTGGATTTAATAACATAAAAAAAAAGTGGAACAATAGGCTTTTATTTTAATGGTAGTGAATTCTTTCGCTTATAAAAGATCTTGGATTCAAATTTTTTTTTTTTTTTTACAATATTTAAACGTATAAAAAATCTTCATTAAAAGAAGAGGCTAGAATATCTCTTTATTTTTGTAATGGCGGTTAATTTAATCCAGTATGATTGTAGGATGCAAGAACACAAAAAAAAAAAAAAATGGTGCTACATTTAACAAAAAAATAAAAATCTCACATTTGTATTTTCATTCAATTTTAATGTTCAAACATAATTGATTTTTATTTTCATTCAATTTTAATGTTAAAACATAATTGAGTTTGGATTTGGGTTTTATAGCTAAAAAATAATATTTTTTTAATTATTTATCAAATTTTGAAATGGTATAATAATTTGGGTGGAAAGTTCTCTCCAACAAAATTTATAATCTGATATTCTAGAGGTTACGAGATATTTCATCGGTTAACAAACAAATTGACATAAATACTTAATTAACGAGTTTAAGAAAAATCAATACACTTAATGAAAAAAATTAAAATCTATATATTAGATTGAAATAAAAATAAAATAAAATTATAATTTAGTATTTTAAGAATAACAAACACGTCATAACTTGATAATGAAATTGAAAAAAGTTTTTTATTGACAGTTTTGAAAAAAATGAATGTATTCAAACAAACAAAAATGTATATAATTGACTGAGATAAAGCTAAGAAATGATGTACTTATTGTGCAATTATTGCAAAACAATTTTGATATTTAGTTATTTACTGGGAAACAAATTCAAAACCTACAGAGCAGAACAGTCTGTGATAAAAATTATTGAGGGTAAATAAGAAGTGGCACTTGGGACTGGACCAAAATGATAACCTTTTAAGAACTCCTTTATACAGGGCCAGCAAATACCACTTCTTCTGATCACCACTCTAGCATCCAAAGCTGGCCACCTGATGCTTATGGACCTACTACTGACCAGAAAATGCAATAATAGACGGTATCATATTCATTTACGGGAAATTTTATAAAGCTATAATGCTAAATTATACCTATTGTACCTATTATGATAAAGTATTGGCCTGACAGTTAGAAAGATTTGTTCATTTTTTAATTTTTTGGATTCAAACTTTAGAGTCATTACTAGACTGAGATAAAATTATTGTTTAAAATCTTTTCAAGTAAAATTTAGTTTTTATTGATGTGCAAACTAATTTGAAGATATGTTTATTGTCAAATATATATATATATTTTGAGTAATCTTACATGGGTTAATAATGAAAACTTTGAGATATTTATATATAAGATAAACTAGTAACTCATGAGTTTAGACTTTTGGATTAAGTTGATATCCATTTTTATATGTAAAGTTCAGGTGCGGGCCGAAATGACTTTCAAATGCAAATCTATCTAACAATATAATTACAACGTAAATTCTAAACCAATCACACTAAAACTGGGATTAAGTTGGTGTGTAGAGTCTCATATTCAAATTCAATTTTGTGTGAAGGGTATCAGTAGCAGTACTCCATGGCAGTTGCAGAGCTCTTTAAACCAAATCATCATGGCATCTAGAAGCTTGAAGATGGTCACCTTCTGTCATATCTTTTTATGAGAAGGAAATAGTGTTGCCCATGTCTTGGCTAATTAAGCAAAGTCTAAGGTGGAATCCAAATTATATGGATTGGTTTTGTTTTTTGTTAGCTTTTCTGTAATGTTTCTTGTTCTGCTCTTTGTAAACTTTGGTTTCGCTTTTGCCGCCTTGTAGGGTGCCCTAAAAAAAGATTTCTGTACAGCATGTATATATCATCATCACATTAATGATTTTCTTTTTTCTAATGTAATCATAAATTAATAAAGAAAGAAAATACGAAACATAGAGTGAGGAATGTGGTTCTTTTTGGGAAAAAACATGCAGTTCTAGTATAGTTTGTATTGAGGGATCATAAAAGAAAATTCTTATATATCTTCTCATTTGAATTGGTATTAAGGATTTCAATGAACCTGAGATTCTAGTTAATTATTAATAAAACTTTGAAAATAAATTTATCTTATCATCTTTCTCGTGAGATTAACTAAATTATAGAAATTGATTCACCAAACGCAATACTTTAGATTGTCAAAATGTTAATAAGAAGCTATGGTGAATGCATAATCTTTTTATCAATTTTGATTCTTGTATTAGTAATCTGAAGTTAGTTAGTTTTAGTATAATTAATAGAAACAATAACATGGTTAGATAATTTAGTAAAGCAAAGACTAAATAGATAGAAAACTTATCTTATTTAATTATAATCTTTTCGTTTCTATTCTGTAATATATATATATATTTTTTGTCATCGGTTAAATGGCTCTCTTCATAATCTAATCGATTTTCATAAAAATAAAAATAAAAACATAGTAAAACATGAGAAGAAAATGCTTGAATAATAGTTTAAAAAAGAAGAAAAAGATAGAAGCATTGTTCAAAAGAAAACACAAAGGAACAAGTGAAGTTGTAGATAGACAGTATAAGTTCATAACACACCCTGGCCATCTCTGATCGTGGCATATTAATGTGATTTGATCGTGGACGTTTTTGTCACCACCAAAATTGGAACCAACTATAATGGCAAAAATGCTTACATATTATTAAAATTAAGTAATTGATATTGAATTTTACCAAAAAATTAAATTTTAACATTTATGTAAGGTAGATTTTCTAATACTATTTTTTCTCTTGAGGTCTATCTTTTAGAATCTGACATGTGTTATTCCTCACTTAAATTAGATAGTTGAGATTTGATTCAATTTAAAAATCAATTTAAAAGATTTTTAAATTTTATGATAGATGGTCTTTTTTTCAATTTTATATATTATCGATTTATTGTTTATTTATCTATGTGAGATAGGTTTTTTTACACATACAATATATGACTATAAGGATATTGTATAACCCCAATTGATGGGTATGTCATGCACAAAATTAATGTTGCTTCAAACTTAATAGATTGCAAATTAAGATTATCTTAAATGGATTTAAAGTTTAATAGTATAATCTATCTTTATATAATAGGATAATCTTCTAATTTAATAGTATATTTTTAATTGAATTAATTTTATTAAACTAATTTTATTCTTAATATACTTTAAGTATCTAATTTATCATTTTGGTAATATTTTCAAGCTAAATTACCAATATTAGCCGGGCAATTTGCGTATAAAAACTTTTCATTTGACTGATTCGCAAGTCTTTTAAAAATAAAAATTAGTTATGTGTAAATCATGAGAATAATTCTAGTAGTTTGGCTCTGAATATCTCGACAAATAGATAAATTAAAAATTAACATATGCTCAATAATAAAATTGATTCAATTAAGAATATAGTAAAAAAATTATCTTATTATATAAGAATAAATTGAGGTTATAACCCTAACTTACTTTACTCTAATCATATCCATTTTAAGTTAAACCGATAAATTCAATGTTTTTTTTTTAATGAAAATGTACCACTCTCTCAAGAAACACATAAAATAAAGAGAAATATTTTTCTTTAATTAATGCTTATACCATAAGCAATTAAAAATAGGCCAAATTCGTGCGTTTCGACACTTAGATTATTGGAGTTTGTGATTTAGAGAATCCTAATACCATGCAATTGCATTAACAAACGACCAGTGCAAAAATTATGAACAATTGTTAGCAAAGCATGAATTATTATTATTATTTTGATGAAAAATTTTACATCGTTATATAAATAGTTATTTTATTAATTAAAATTAGTTTTTTAATATATTATAACGAGTTGAGCATCTTCAAACTTATTTGTGCCATAATCAAAATTAAATCTATTATTGTTTTAGGCTAAGGGAACATCAAATCATATTTAATCTTAAATTGATTACATACATTATACTCATTATGCAAAATAAAAATAAAGTTTTTTTTAAAAAATGAGAATTAAACCCCCATGATTCAGAATCGCATCATCTTTAGTTTTAGGTTCAATTTGAATCAAATAAAAAACTAATGTTAAAGTGCAATGGCTAAAATTTCTGTAGAAGATCGGAAATCCTTTGTGATGAGTTTCCTCTTGGCTTTTTCATGTTCTAAAATGCAAATTCTACCAAGAACCTACAAGAAAAGACTCGGCACTAGGGAGAGACTTTAGCCTTTTTTTTTTTTTTCCTTAAGTTGCTCCATTATCAATTGTTGGGACAAGACGCATCACTTTTGTTTACAAGTACTATTATTACAAAATTCAGACAAGAAACATTTTTGGAAAATAGACCATAGAGTCAGAAGCGTTTGACCAGTCTAAGGAAAATGAAGCCAAACTCTTCCCATTAACCCAAAAATATATTGATTCCTCTTCAATTGGTTGGTTAGCTAACTTGGTCCTTTGTTGGTGGTCTTCGAGGTGTGTTTTCTTATCTCTCTTCTCGTCCTCTAGCTTCTCATTAACGTAGAGGCAATAGAGAGGGCTGTCAGTTATTCTTTAAAAGATTAAATTAAAGGCACGCATGCTAGCTCCATAAAAATTAACAAAGGGTATACATTTTTTTATGGTCCTTCAAGTTTCAGATTTCACTCAATTTAACCCCTTTATTACAATTTCGGTATGCCAATCTTCAAGTCCTCAAAGCTGCATTAATCATGATCCTGCCATCCACTTATACACGCGTGCATGCGCACACACATGGAACAACCATTTAATAAACATTAGTTGTACAGAGGAATAGAGGTGATTATTAATTTTATCATTAACATTCTAATGAGGTGAATATTTACATACGATTTACTTTATTCTATTCGTAAACATATTTTAGGTTTTATCTTAAAGATATGTGTTGAGAATCTTTTTAAATATTTGTATAAATAATATTTTTTGGTGGGTGTGTGCTTTTTTATACTAAATAAAGATTACTTAGTAATAATAAATTAAATTCTTTGGACTTTTGGTCAAAAGAAAAAAAGTCTCTTTTTTATTTTGATTTGAGTTTTAAACTTTTTTATTGCGATTAAGTTTTTTTATTTCATCAATCAATTTTAGATCACATTAGATTTATGTAAGAGATACATAAAATAATAAAATAATAACATGTATCTTATATTTAGAACTTTCAGAATACGTTTTGTTGTTTTAATAGTTCAAAATGTTTTTCATGTTGATGGACATTAGTCAATGAGATGAAAAAATTTAATTACGGACCAAAAAAAAAAGTTTAAGATCCAAATCAGAATAAAAAAATATCAAGAGACTTTTTTTTGTTGACTAATAATTTATAATATTTTATAATCAATTAACCTTAGATAAAAAGGGTAAGACTTTATATGCCTAGATTGTGGTGAAGGAGTTGGAAATGATCAAAGTATGAAACTTGAGGGACTAGACACATAATTTACCTAGCTATTCTTAATGTGACTTTGGATTCTTGGGTGTGCTATTAAAACTATCCATGATCTCTCTCGCGTCTTCTCTTATCGCAGAATCATCAGTTACAATGTCATTGACAGTGCCTGACACATCTCCATTAGATTTTTTATCTCATGCCACTACACTACAACACAAGCCTTGGCGGATATATTGGAGCTCGTACTCTCGTAGATTCTGCACGAATAAACATCACATTCAGAGACATATAATTAATCTGTAGCTCTCTCTCTCTCTCTCTTTGATTTCACTTCTTTACAATAATAATAATTGTTGAAAGCATCAATGCCAGTAGAATACCATGCACCTATATCTATTACCACCCTCTCCAGCTCTTTTTCTATGCCCTTTGCTAGTTTTTAATGTAATGTAAATCTTCTTTTCTTTCTTTCGAGCTACCTCTCTTATGGGAAAGAAGGGTGGTACCTCATGGTTGACCATAGTGAAAAGAGCATTCAGGTCTCCAAGTAAAGAGAACGAGAAAAAGAGTAGCAAAAGGATAGAAGAACATGACCAAAAAGAGGAAGAAAAGGTAACTAATGATGCTACTATGATGATCAATGACTAGGTAGCTTTAGTCTTTATGTGTATTACAAAGTATTGATTTCTTTGGGCATGGATTTTTGGGTTTGATTATTTGCAGAAGAGAGAGAAAAGAAGATGGCTTTTTAGAAAGTCCAGCACTAGCAATGTTCCAGTTCAACAATGTGAGGAAAATATTGCAATAACAAACGCTACTACTGCACCCGTGAGTCCTACTTTGGATGCTGAGAAAAGATATGCAATTGCGGTGGCAGCAGCCAAAGCTGCAGCTGAAACAGTCCAAGCAGCGGCAGAGATAGCTAGACTCACTAGACCAGCTTCCAGCTGCTTTGTTAGAGCTGAAGTCTGGGCTGCTATTGTCATCCAAACAGCCTTTAGAGGCTACCTAGTAAGTAATAACTTGCTATTGTATACTTCAATACTTTCATTTCTTTCATGATTTGGTAATCTTGATTGATTATTGAAGGCAAGGAGAGCTTTACGTGCACTGAAAGGGCTAGTGAAGCTACAAGCTTTAGTAAGAGGACATAATGTAAGAAAGCAAGCAAAGTTAACACTTCAATGCATGCAAGCTTTGGTTCGAGTACAAGATCGAGTCCGTGACCACCGAGCAAGGCTTTCACATGAATGGAGCAGAAGGTCCATGTTTTCTGAGACTAACAGCTTATGGGAGTCTAGATATCTCCAAGACATTCGTGAGAGAAAGTCCATGGTAAGTACTTGTAAATCTATGACCCTATCGCCCAAACTATAACTACTTCTTGAATTATTAGGCCCATTTTATCTATTTTTGACATTACTAAATCCATGGTATTTTCTTTTGTTCCTATGGTAGAGTGGTAGTCTCGGATTAGCTAATTTCGCGTATCGAAACTAAATATTATTCTTCAGATAGGAATAAATCTTTGTTGCCATTACAATCATCTATTTTGCTCAACATTTTGGGGCATGAAATAAATATAGTGCTATGATAGGGTGAGTAAATCAATCTTAGTAATTTATGCCTTCTTGGAATGAAATTAATGGCTTTTTGGTACAAAATTAATGGATTTTGTGTTACAGTCTAGAGACGTAAGCTCTATTTTAGACTACTGGGATGATCGGCCATGCACAAACGAAGAGATTGAAACCATGGTGCAAAGTAAGAAGGAAGCTGCATTAAAACGTGAAAAAGCCCTGGCTTATGCTTTCTCTAGCCAGGTTGGTCTTGTCACTCCCTATGTGTTTGTTACGTAAGTTACTTTTGTGCATTAAATAATTATATTATATAGCATATTATATATGTCCTAATTAATCAATTTCTCGAATATCTACATGACCAAAATCAAGATATGGAGGTCTAGAAGGAACCCATCAGCAGGGGATGAAAAGGAACTAGAAGACAGAACAAGATGGCTTGATCGCTGGATGGCAACCAAGCAATGGGAGACAAGTAGCAGGGCATCAATAGACAGAAAAGACAATAACATAAAGACAGTGGAAATGGACACATCTAGACCATTTTCCTATTCTAGTACAACTCCAACTTCTCGAAGGTTATATGTCCAAAATCACCCACAAAAACAACCCTCCAGACATTCCATTGCTTCTCCTCTCCATAGATCACACTCCAGTCTTTCCCTTCACCAGTCTCCAATCACGCCCTCTCCTTGCAAACCCAGGCCCCTTCAAGTACGTTCTGCAAGCCCAAGGTGCCTAAAAGAAGAAAAGAAATGCTACTCAGCAGCACATACGCCAAGCTTGAGCTCAAGATATTGCATAAACAATGGAATTGGTCGTTATGGACTAGTGAATGCAAGTGGGGGTGCTACAATATTGCCAAACTACATGGCAGCAACTGAGTCAGCAAAGGCACGTGTTAGGTCACAGAGTGCACCGAGGCAGAGACCATCAACACCAGAGAGAGAACGTGGTGGATCAGTTGCGAAGAAACGTCTGTCATTCCCAGTTCCTGACCATGGCCCACAAGGAAATAGTGTTGCCAATATTGGCTACAGTAGTAACAGTGGTTTCAGTCAAAATTTGAGGAGTCCTAGCTTCAAGAGCGTGCATGGTTGCCACTTTGGAATGGGGGAGGAATCCAATTATTTTTCATGCTATAATGACAGCATTGGTGGAGAAATATCTCCTTGTTCAACAACTGATCTTAGGTGGTTAAAATAAGAAATTTGGATTTGGGTGAGTAGTAGTTTATGAATGCAGTCAATTACCATTAATTATCTAGCTAGTTCTAATAGTTAATTAATGCTGTGTTATTTTTTGGTTTTTTTTTTTTTTTTTTGTGAGAAACTTGAATTTTCATCTTGGTGAAGTCTAAGTTCCAATCTCTAAAAACAGATGGAATGAGATATAGAAAAATGAAAGATTATTCTGCTTAAATAGCCGAAGATCCCGCTAAATAGGAGAAGAAAAATAAAAACAAAAATTCATCCTCTTATATTTTGTGGCATGACAAGATAAATCGACCGTGAAGGGATGTGGTCTATCGACATGAGGATTGTCTTGATTTTATGAAGATTAAAATTTAATTTTTGTTATTTAAAAATAAATAATCATAATTATTTTTTAATAGTATTAGATTTTGATCAATTTAATTTATGAGAAAATTTAGTGGTCAGTCAAGAGCTAAAAGAGTGCTAACTTAATTTGAAAAATTATAAATTTAATCTTCATTGATATAAAAACTGATTCGAAAATATTTCAAACAATAAATATTTTTTTTGAAAAAATGATAAATCCATTGTGGATCACAAATCTTATTAGCACAAGCAGCAACATGATTATATCAATAATTACTCCTTTTATCTCAAAATATTAGTCTTTTTTTTTTCTTACCTTTCATGTAGTTTAAGAAAGTTATTAATTATTATGACATATTAGAATTTTTTATTTTTTATTTTCTAAAATACCCTTCTATCATGTGGCATTTGAGTTCTAAATTTTTTAAAAAGATATGGAGATAATTAAGCTCTTCTAAAATCAAAACATCAAATCAAGATATTGGTTCCTTCCAAATTTAAATTCAAAAACTTTTATAAACATCTAAATATCATTAACAAATCCTAAATTTTCCTTTTCAATGGATATAGATATCGTTTGTGGCCGTATCAAACTAGTAATATATATATATATATATATATATATATATATATATCATACACACTACTTTTCAACGGATTTTTACCTTGAATTCTTTTTCAAAAATTTACATTTAATATTATGAAGTGGAGTTCTGATTTAGGTTTTTGAAAAGAGTTTACGAACATTTAAATAAAATATTACGATATATATATATATAGGAGGAGATAACGTATATTTCATTTTTTAGAATAGTTTATAGATGATTGGTGCTGGTAACACAAAGCCTTTTGCCTACCAAATATTTTCTCGAGAAATAGACAGAATAAACACTAAAAATTATCATACTCTGATAAATTACTCCATTAAATAAAATTTTTAATTTAAATATATTTTTTGAGCAGGAAATTATATATCTTCAATTTTAAAAATAAATTATTTATCTTTAATAATTAAATAAAAGCACAAACTCCGTAAAAGCTTTTGAGTAGGAAATTATATGGCAATGGATGGCTACTTGACTTGTTAATTTAATTTTTTAATCTACGTATTACCTGATAAGAAATCATCAAATAAATTTTTACTCTGTTCGTATTAGCTTATCGGTCCATTTAATACCTTAAAAATTTAATTTATAAAAATATTCATTTTAGTCCTTATAATTTTTTTAAAAAAATTTTATCCTTCATTTTTTTTTTTACATTTTGGTCATTTACTTATAAATTTTTATCCTCAAAATTTTTGAAAAAAATATTTTTATTCTTAATTTTTAAATTTTATGTAATTAGATCCATGTATGCTAATAAAAAATCTAAATAAATTAGTGAGTATTAATAGAGTAAAGAGTGCGTATCTATATTTTGAAATTATATTAGTGAGTATATATTTTTTACCCTTACTTATTTCAATATCCATTAAGCATTCTTAATAAGTATTTATTAAATCGAGTAAAGTGAGTATCCGTTTTATATCCGACCCATTATCATCCCTAGTTGACTATTATGTCCTTATACAATATTAATATTGTGACATAGCTTCAATACTAACATTTAAATTCATCTAACCTTTCCTAAGGAGAAAAAACCAACATTGAAGAAATTCTTAAGAACGAAATCATTAGAACCTAAAAAATACGTTAATTAGTCCCGTTTATTCATTATATTTCTATTTATTAACCACATAAACCTTAAATAACATAAAATTTCTTTATGCCTGAAGATTTGATGAACTAGATGAAGAAAGAGTATTACCTCGAGATCAAGGAGAAATTAGAAAAAAAAATTTCTAATTAGTTATATCACCAATAAACATTTAACATTTCATGCTCATAGTTTTTTTTTCTTATCAAATGTAATTTTTTGATACTCTCTATTAGTCAAAATTAGTTTTTGAAATTTATTGGGTGATGAATAATTGAAACAAATGGTTGATTTATTTGGCCGTTTGGTGCTTTTTTTTTTAAGTCTTTCATGATTTTTTTTTTTAATCAAAAGTAGGCTAATTACACTTGATTGAATGAGATATTAGACTTAATATATATGCACTCGAGCAATTATAGAAAGGAAAAGCCATTAAACTTACGAAATTGGCTCAATTTTTTTTTATCAATAATATTGATCAAAAGAGAAAGATATCTAAATAAATAGTTGAGATAGTGGAAATTGATTATATATATATAATCTCCAATACTCTGCAGCAAACAAATCCAAACTGAAAGTAAAATAAGTCACTTCTGGTCCCTCTTTCTCTGAAACATAAAAGGACTAAGCCCATTTACATATAGAAACAGTCCAGTGGCATGGAGATATGAATGTAATAGATCTATTGCAAGGATGGGATGGGCTTTTTCCCTTCAGTCTAGGATGATAGCTGTTAGATCACTTTTAAATGAAGAATTTTACTAATTTTTAGTCATTCATACATTATTTTATACCAAAAGAATAATAGAAACTCTTCCTATCATCACAGTCGTCATAGAAACAATCAACAAGCAAACTATAATCCTTAAAAATTATGTGTGCGTACGATCATTTGACTTTTATATTTTTCGGTCATAATCAAAAGGTTGTTTTGAGTCATAATCAGAAATTTCTTCAAATGATATTTATAGTGCTATAGTAGCAATATCTTTGGCAATCTCCAATAATTATTAATTAACTAATTAAAAAAATTCTTTATACATCTTGATTCAATAAATCTTAGGTCAGAATCGATAACCAAAAGATAATATATTTTTTAAAATTTTATTTAAGTAATAAATGATCCTCACCAAATAAATTTTTTAAAGTGATAACGATTATCCTATAATTGGAAAGTTCAAAAAGTAATTAAATTATGGTTGTCAACCAATCTCTGGGTCGTTTTAACTTGTAAAAAAAAAAAAAAAAGCCATTGTTGACCAAAAAAATTAACAATTGATCATTGGAAGCAACAATTTTATATATATTGATGAAAATATCATGATAACAAACTAATAGAAGAGTTTATACATGTAATTTATAAACAACTGGAAACCCTACTAACAAATGACATATTCACTCTCCAACAACTCTTTAATTTCACTTTCATGACAAGTGCTGCTCCCTCAGTTAACCATAACACCAGAAGGAGATAAGACTTGTCAATAATTATTTAACACAGAAGCTCGTCCAACGTCGTAGCATGCACGACCTACCAAATCTTCAAGCCTTAAATGTCAACTTGAAAGCTCAACGTTGAAACTTTCAAGTTTCGTTTACCTGGCCAATAATTTCAAGTGGGAATAAAGATATATCAAAGCCTGTGCTTTATAGGGAGAGTCATGTGTTGCTGTGCTGGGCCAGTATCTGGATCATGCTTTGTCAAATCCTCCAATAACACAGCAAATCTTTCCATGACTGTTGCACCTAAGGAAATCAGAACCATAACCCCACGCTCTCCTTTCTTGTTTTTAAAGGGCAAGTAATAGGTTCCAGAATTATTAATGTCATCAGGCATAGCCTTAGATGGCCCAGTATAAACTGACTTGCCCCAGCCATAATCCACCTGATCAAAGCCAACACTTGTTAAATCAGACACAACATAGGACTGTAACCCTTTAGGCAGGCCTTTGGAGATCTCTATGAAATCAGCCAACGATCTCATGTACTCCTCGGTTATTTTATTCTTGGCATGCCTTATCAACTCCAATGCATACCCTAACGAGTTTAAACAAAGCTTACTAGCATTTGTTACAGCTGCTGGCAATGCTAGCACGTTACCGTAATATCCTTTTGGTAATGGAGGGTTGAATTTGGAACGGGCATTGACAAGCATACAAATCCGCATCTCATCATTAGGGTTTGCTTGAGAAGCAATGGCATAGCATCTCCATAAGCATGCGGTTATTATTTCGAACTTGGAACATGGGTGTAAATGAGGAGGAATCCATTTCCGAATGTTGGATAATTCTTTAGGGCCAATGATGAAACAACGGTGGGCTGCACCGACAGCTCCGCCGCGAAATTCAGGAACGTTGAGTGCTATAGGATCATCAAAAATATCATGATCGTCGCCATATTCATTGTGTGTGCAAGTAACACGAGGTGGATTCCTAGCACAAAGGAGTTCCCTTTGCCACACAGGTAGAACTGAAGGGGCTTGAGCACCTCGTGCGATCTCACCTATCGAACTCAATAGCTGAACTAACCCAATAGCATCACTCATTGGGTGATTAAGACGGAAGCCAAGTATAAAACCACCACACTTCAAGCGGGTTATCTATCAAAATAAATTAAAAAAGAATTAATAATTACCTATCAAAATATATAAAAAAATCATTGATATTTTACTATAATGTGATTAATTGAGTGTAATATAGCACAACATAAACAGAAAGTAACTATTGAATTTTATGTTAAACTACAATATTTTATACAATTAATGGCTAGGTTTGACAAATCTTTTGGTGGGAGGAGGAGGTAAAGATGGCAATAGACCAGATATATAATGGATATCAGTTCAATAAATACTCATTAAAAATATCTAATGAGTAATAAAGTGAATAAAGATAAAAAAAATATCTACTAATATAGTTTTAGGGTATGCATACTCACTCTTTACCTTATTAATACTTACTAATTTATTTAGATTTTTTTATTAACATGTAGTAATTTAATTATATAAAATTTAAAAATTAAGAATTAAAATATTCTTTTCAAAAACTTTGAGGATCCAAAAAACCTTATAAATAAATGATCAAAATGCAAAAAAAAAAAAAAATTTAAGAGTCAAAATTTTTTTCTTAAACATTATAAGGACTAAAATGAATATTTTTAATAAATTAAATTTATTGGATATTTAATGTTATTAAATGAATGGATAAACTAGTATGAATGGAGTATAAACTAGGTAAAGCTTTATATGGTGATTTCTTAATAGATAATGGGTAGAATAAAAAAATTAAATTAAGGAGATGGGTATCCACCCATTGCCATCTCTAGAAAGGGGCAAAGATATATTTGCTGTACTAATATAAAACTTTTTTTAAAAAAAATATAAGGACATCTATAAAGTAAGTAATTGACTGGGGCAAACAAAGTATGACAAATTAATTTATATATTGGAATCCAAAAACTAAGTCAAAATTACTAGTAATTTGCTTTGATGAGCACTAAATTAGGGAATATATTATGTATTATTTTTTTAACCACTCATGAGAAGAGCAAATATGAAGAGGAAAAGAAAAAAACAAAACAATAGAGAGGGAAAAGGGCAAAGGGGAAATTAAATAGGAAGGAAAACGAAGGGAATCAAATGTTATTAATACGATTTTACAAGAGTCGATTACAGTAAAAAGTAAGAGGACTATTCAATTTATATTAGATTTAATAAATTTTTTTTATAGTATATGGATCAGAAATTTAGATTTTATTTCATGAATTTTATTTTATAACATTATGATTCATGAATGGAGGTTCGACTTGACTTATTTGGGTAGGGCTACACAAACTCGATCCTACCCCACTATTTGTCCCAGATACCTAGCTACTATTAAATATATGTTAAAAACGCTAGCAACAAAAAAGTAATTAGAATTCAGTTTTGCAATAGTTAATTCTTTTTCTATAGCTATGGCTCTCCTCTTGATAAAAAAATAAAAAATAAAAAGTAATTAGAAAGGGGATTATAAAGATTACAAGAGGTTTGGCCCAACAATTGAGTTTATGAATACAAAACGTACTCAACCAAACCGGCCATCGAATTTTATAACTTAGCCCATTTCCAAAAGTTAAAACAAGAATTAAAAAAAGGCCAATAGTATCATGTTTATGGCAAGAAAGTACCTGAAAAATCAACATTGGGGTATTGAGAATCCCAGCTGATCCTGGAACATTGTAAAGAAGGTCATCTGCACAAGGGAATGGAGGCTGAATTGGATCACCAAACTGCTCAAGTGTAGCATCAGCATCAGCTTCGATGAACAAGACACCCTCACCAGTACAATCAACTACAAGCTTATTTTCTGGTCTTTGTCTAAGCCTGCCAGCATAAGGGTAATAATACACGAGGGCTTGAGCAATTGCCTCTCTTATCACCTTCACAGGATCTTTCGCTTGCATTGACGGATTGTGTGCATAAAAGTTGTAATGTGGAGATTGAAATTGGAGGTATAGTTGGCGATCAATATCAGAAAGCGGTTTAAATTCATGAGGTGTGGCCTTAGCTGGTGCAACCAATTCAGGTTCACACCTTCGTACAGCGAACGCTAAGGAAGTAGGAGCAGCCATGGCACACAGAGAACAGCTAGGGGTGATGCTAACAAGTGTGATCAATGGTAGCTCTGGTACCATATACACAAGCAGTACTCAGGACTCAAAATGGGATACGTGTTCTTCCAAACTTGCTGCATGTTTATAATAAGATTTGTTGGCTGAAGTAGGTGAACGAAAGCAATACTTAAGCATTGTTAATTGAGTGATTAGGATGTTGATGATATGAGCTTGATTTTCTTCCTTCAGTGAGGTGTTAACTTGTCCATTTTATCCGCAGAATTATCTCAAGTATTTTGCTTAGTCCAAATGGGTGAAGTTGTCCTTCTTGGGTAAGCATCTGAATCGGTCTTTAGACGGGTACAACTGCATTTTCCAACTTTTCTAATTTATTTTGGACCTTTTTTCTTTCAATTCAAAGTTTTATTTTTATTAATATGTTAGATAATATATCCTACATTTAATTGTTAAATAAAAAATAATTAATATATAAAGTTAAAAAGAAGTCATCTATCATAAGATTTAAGTCTTTTGCATAGAACTTAATCTTAACTAAGTTTCGAAGAGGCCCAATAACCTAACAAAAAAAAAAAAATCGGTACCTAAACCACTTGACAGATCTAAAAGTATGGATTGCGAGTAAGAGATAGTGTTAAAGTACATATCTCACATTGAATAATTAAATAAAAAATAATTAACATATAAAGTTGAGAATGGATCATTCATCACAAGATTTAAGTTTTTTTTTATGAAACTCAATGTCGACTCCGTAAAAATCCTACAACTATTAGTTTTCATACATACATACATATATATATATATATATATATATATATGTGGAAAAAAAATTAATTAAAAGAAATAATAATGTATACATACATATAAAAACTGAGAAGAAAAACTATAATTTCAAATTTTTAACTTCTTATTTCAATAAAAAAAAAAATTAGGATACAAAATATGTTCCTTTTTTTTTTCCTCATAAGTTTAGTTTTATTTATATTTTTTTTCATATCTACACGTATCTCATTTTTCTTTTTCCACAAAATTAATATCTAAATGTTCGTTAATTAAACTAAATAATAATTTACCTTATAATTTGTATCAATGGACAAAAATTAAAAATCTAACATTTTATAGAAAAAAACTATATTTTCGTATCTTTAACTTCATATTCTAAAAAAATATATATATATCAGATTTTTATATATCTTACGCTTATAAGGTTGTGTTAGTAATGCCGTGAGTTAGAATGATTGAGACTAAAAATTATAAGACTTCTCTACCAAACTTTTTGGTAAAGAGACATAGTAGAAGGATCTTTAGTATAATCCAACTTTAAGATACTTGGAGAAACTATTTTTTATATTAAAAGATTATTGAAAGAATAATCTTTTTCTATCTAACATTTTTATGTCTCTTTTTCACCTTCGTATATATCTTATGCATCCAGAAAAAAAAAAAAAAAGGGTCTTATCTTCCTTTTGAGATTTGTATGTGTGCGCAGGTGAAAATGTGAAACTATAAGACAAAAAATTGTTACTCATTTTGTAGTTTTTTCATTCAAGTCATAGTTTTTCAACGCCGAAACAGTTTCTTCGAGTATCTAAACATTAAATTACACTAAACAATAAATATATTTTGTGCGTCGTTACTCAACGCTAAGTAAACCATTTATTAGTATAACTTAATTTCCTAAATCGACTCAACCATATAGGTGAATTTTTTTAAATAAAAGTATTCTAATATTTTAAATCATTAATTATAACTAATAATTTATGATAAAAATTATTTATAATAAAAAATTTTTATTCAGAGTTTATCCAAATAAATTTTTAGAAATAAAAAAATTATTTAAATTTTTAGCTGAAAATATTATTGAGAATAAAAACCCACCATGTACACTAAAAGATTATCTATTCAAAAGCTTGATAATTATAAAATATTTTTTTTATTAAAATTATAGTTTATTAATTGATGGAAGGGAAGCCTATCAATATACCCTTATATATTTCTCAATACAAAAATTTATCATTTTAACGTTTAGTTTTTTTCTATTCTCTAATACACCCCCATGCCAATCATTTCTTTTAAAATTAACCTCATATGCACAATACATGATAGTTTCGATATTAGTTGATAAAAATATCATTTTAATTCAATAGAAAACACCAATTTAAGTAAAAATAAAAAATAACGTTCAACTATAGTTTCAATATGTAACTAAATTTAATCCAGGCTCTCAGATTTATGTAGAGGGCCCTTGAGCATCTAGGCCTGATTCTTTTTTTCTTTGTATTTATACGTGTTTTTTTTTTTCTATTACTTCTATTTATTTTTTAAAACAAAAGGAAAATAAAAAATTCGTATACACAATGAATCAAACAAAAAATAATTAAATTTAAATTTGTTATTAGGAATTGATAATGTTACTAGCTATTATATATATATTTATATAAAAAAATAATTAAAACACACATCCGTTCAAAGAACGAAAAAAAAATTAGGAAATATAAAAATGATAAAAGTTCAAATTCTATAATAAGTTAAGGTAGCTTATTTTTTTTAGGCGTAGGTAAATATCTGGTTGCATTAAGCTCTTTTTCTTTTCTTTTTCATTCTTTTTTTTAAGTTATTAATTTTTAATTTTTTTAGAAAAACTAATTATTTTTTTAAAAAATTGACTTATTTATTGCTTCTTCTTCTTCTTTTTCATATTTCGTAACTTTTTTTTCCAATGAAAAACAATCGATAAAGGAAGTATATTGATTCAATGGTCATCACAATTTACAATTAAGAAGGGTAGATAAATAAATAAATAAATAAATAAATTTCTTATACGCAAATTAACCCAACAAATTATACATCACAAGAAAAAAATTAAACTTTTAAAAGAAAAAGCTATCATAAGATTTAAGACGATAAAATTTTTTTAGTTTTTTTATTGGGCTAAATGAGTTAAATCTCTCCTAAATTTTAATTTATTTAAAAATCAATCCATAAAATTATAATTTAGAGTTTGACTTCCCCTAAACTATATATATAGTTTCATTTATAATTTTCAACTATCATTTTCCTTATAAAAAAATTTTAATTTTTAGTATTTTTTATTTAACGTTTTGCACACAGGTTGGAAAAATTTCAACCAACCTCACATCAATTTAATAAGATAACAAATTAAGTTAGTACTCTATTCAAACAAAGTACATATAAAACAAAGTACATATAAAGTAGGATTCTACTCAAACACAATACATATACACTAAGACTTTTTTTGAATATTTAAATCTCAGCTATTGTATTTTTTATAACCTATTTATAGCTAAATATATAGTAACCACTAGTGTGAAATTTATCTTAGTACAATCTTCTTCATGGTACCAGAGCTACTCTGGGCTTAACAGTCAGTGTGTGCAATTTTTTTTCTTACCATAGCCATTCCACCCACCACGCTTTTTTTCCTCCTACTACTGATGCACAAGTACTATTTTTGGCTTAACAGCCATGTGGTTGCTTCGTTTTCTTCTTTTAATCAAACCCAGTCTTTTCCCATACACCAAGCCAACGCATAACTCCTTTTTATTCACATCTATTACTGTCCTTATCCCTCCAAACCACTACTGCATGCTGCTGTCCTTTTATAACATCTCGTCCTTGCTTCTCTAAGCATACTGCTTCTGTCATTATCTCTCACAGCCACTGCCTAAGTTTTTTTTTTTTCCTTCTTTCTCATCCATGATTACTACGTCTGAAAAAATTGATGAGCTCCATTCTATTACCACTTACTCAGCCCAAACACTTACCACACCATCGGCCTCACACCCAAATATTTCTCATAATTTTACTATTGAATTAAACTCCACCAACTTCTTTCTTTGACAAACCCAGATATTACCCTTTTTACGTGGCCATGATTTAGTTTATTATGTTGATGGAACCATGGCACTACCATCTCCTATACTTGACAATGTTGCCTCAAATCCTCTCTATATGTCTTGATCTAGGCAAGATCAGTTAGTGCTAAGATGGATTATTTCCTCTCTGACTGAGTCTATCCTCACTCATTATTGATGTTTCTACTGCTAGAGATGCATGGCAGCAGCTCACTTCAGCCTATGCTTCAAGGTCTAAAACTCAAGCTTGTCTGGCCTAAGTCTTAACTACATCAACTCTGGTAAGACAACAATGATATTTCCACTTATATGCAAAAAGCGAAGGTTTTATCTAATAACCTTAATGCCCTTGGTCATTCAATACCTGGAGGCTGCTTGATTGATGCTATCCTTGCTGGTCTTAGTCATGTATACAGACCCTTTGTCAAGTCTTTGAAAGCCAGGCTTGTCTCTATCTCTTTTGATTACTTATTTGGGCTTGTTCTTAGTGAAGAAAGGCAACTCTCAAAAGATATCATAGTTATAGACTTTATTCCTACCCTAGCAACTCACTATTCTGCCCTTCATGATAGCCTTTCTCACGGTCGTGGACGAGGGCAGAGAGGACGTAGCCCGTTATGACATGATAATTCTCTAAGTATATTGACTCGGCCACACACCACTTCTCATTCTCCTGCCTCTAATATAGAATCCGATGCTGTCGATCAAAACCTCTTTATGTGTCATAATTTTTGAGGCAGTGGATAAATTTTTAGACAGTGTCCTTCTCCACACCCCAAATACGATTCTAAGCAGCCCCCACGCCATTAGCCTACTGGTTATCTTTCTGCTACTGGACCACCATCATTCTTTCCTTGGATTGTCGATTTGAGGGTCATACATTATCTCACAGAAAACATGGAAAACCTAACTTGTTCATTCGAATACATCGAGTAAAAAAAGTCACTATTTGCAATGGTAAAACACTTTTTATCTCTCATATCGGACAGTCTTATATTCCTACTCATAATCATGTTTTTTATCTAAAGAATGTTTTATAAGTTCCTATTTGTTTATCAGAATCTACTGCTTGTAAGTTCCTTTACCAAAGCTAATGTTGTTTCTATTGGATTTTTTCTACATTAT